TCCTCTCCATCCACTATTTTCCGCAAATGGATATCCTGTAACCGGACTGTCAGTAATCTCATGGACACCTGTCTGAGCGAACATTTCCGTACGCGCAATCGTAGTATTGTCCAATTTTCGTCTCTCTCTGTGCCCTCGCCTCGTAGTAGTGATTTACGTATCTCCCGAATCAATGATTCTATGAAAATTGTCATAATCTGGGTTAAAGTTTATGATATTCAATAAAATACAACTTCGAACAACTGTATGGTGTATAAGCAATTGCGAGCTAAATAACCACAAGTTTGACAGTTACATCTTTAACGATCTTGGCAACTTGCCATTCCGTTTGAGTGTGAGTCGTGTTCATGTCTCACTGGACAACTTAGTTCATGGTGTCTGCATTTTCCTCTCTTTCAGATTGTCAGTTGGCCTTCTCCAGGGGGAACCTCCTGTCTGTGTAGCGCTTGGCAACCGCGCCAGTAATATTTTATCGTGAGTGCTTGCATCTCACTGGACCTTTTTGGTTCATGGCGTTTTGCTTGCCTTGCCTTGCACGTTTAACTCCAAACCCGACCCACGGAAGACCTGTCTGCCAGTGTTTCCTCGCCAACCCGTGTCCCGCATACCTACCGCCGTTCCTCGACATCGTTCGTCATCCGCAAAGCCTCGTATCGACTCCCGCTGTGAGAATACGAGCCGAGGGACATCCTATCGCGTATATCCGTTCACTCCGCTGCGCTGCAAGAGCCCGGAGTACGTTCACATTATATCTGTCGACGGTTCCAGCCCCCACTGAGACTCGGTCCACTTGCGGTTATCTGCTCTATCCGTTCACGAGGGATATCCTGGTGCATACAAAAGCCCAAGCATCTCACACATCAAATATAACTGTCAATTTGTAAAGGTTTTAATTAAAGTGTTCAGTCATTATTTAGACTGATACGCTTGAAATAGTCTCGATCAAACCGCCAGATCACTCTCATTGGTCCTGAGACCGCCATTCCTATTGGCTATCCAAATGCTAGATCAGATGACAGTCACGATTTAACACACCATAAGAGCGTGCATTCATCACTGTATAAAAGTATATTATGGTAGAGTAGAAGAGCTAATGAGTATGGGTCACTATAATACAATAATACGAGGTCTCCAAAGTCGGATTTAAATTCTTATTTCCCGGAATCCACATTTGAAAAGTGCTAAAATTTTCTTCCGCCTTCCTACCATTTTCTATAGGGCATTCGCTGGTGGTACTGGATTGTTTGGGCCCTTTGGTTCAGTCTGATTTGGAACTAAATCCCTACTGTGTCAAGAAAACAAACTCTCATCTTGGGTCATTGACCCGGTTTACAGACGTGCCGGAAAAATGCATCAGATCGACGCGGGAGAAGTAGGTGGGGTTGAGTAATTTTGTCTCGGGGTCAGCAGGGCGGCAACAAGGTGAATCTGCGACTGATTGCTTCCATCTATGGGATCTCTCTTATGAAATGCTTAGTTATTGTGGATTCCCGTTCTTGCAGTCTTCTCATATAATATCATGTTTGTCGAATACGGTTGAAAGAAATCACTGCTGTAACATTTACAAACAATTATTCCAATTGTTTGTTTTACCATTCAGTTACATGATTATACGCAATGAGTTCTATCGTATGGAGCTGAAGCTCAACCTTTAGCTATCGAGAAACTATTGTCCTGACCAATAAGCAACCCCGATCACACGGATATGTCGCATATGTTCTGTGTAGCGCCAACCAGAACACTTAGAAATCACATTGATGGGATTTCTCATCTAATTTTTATCCCTCACTTACTGAGTTTTGGTAGTATGAAAATACAGTGAATTAAAAAAGAACGGGAACACGAGACAATCAATAAGACAAGGGTCGATGGTTGCTTGATTTCTAGGCTGATAAAATTTTAACTCCTGTCCAACTACATATGGTGTTGTTATGGGCACCACCTGTCAACAAGCACGCCATTACGAAACTGGTAGATATGTAATTATCATCGCTCCAGTAAGTGAATGATTTGATAACTTGATGATTTGTCCCCAGTAAAACGGAGGAGTAAGATCATATGAGCTCTCCTTTATGACTAATATACGCTTTAAAATATCTTCCATGTAAATTGAGGAGATAATTGACACAGTTTCAAATCAATCTTTATTCCAAACTATCCTATTCACTTATGTTCCCAACCTGGTTGGCTCCGCATGTACGGTACAGGCACACATAACTTGACCTGCTGCTAACACGTACGGGTGCTATCCGTCCACTTTTGTTTCTCATTTAGTGCTTGAATAAACTGTTGTGAGTCGATCCTTCGGCATAAAGGTAGTCAAGGGGGTCACGCGTTCTAGTTTCTGGACATCCGACCCTAGGCCACAAGCATCAACCAATCAAAGGCCATGCAACAAAAACAGAAGCTGCGTGACTCACAGAACGAGATTAACGATTGATTGATGACAATTTGCCCAGCAATATGTCGATGCACAGATTATTTAATCCTATCGATTTCTCTCAATAGGCGAACTGCGACTTCTGTGACCTTTTCAATGCGTCCCGCTAAGTTCCAGTATACGATTTCCAGTGCGATTCCGTGCTTCATTTGCAACTGTGATCCGTGATTTGCGCGTAGTCTGACTAATACACAAACACGGTCCCCGCTGATGCACAGCCTCCGCTCGGTCGACGCAGAACATTGCTGATAAGTCAGGTGTCATCAAGAAGCTAGCTGTCTGGTCCAGTTCCGTTCACTCAAATGCAGTGACAATAACCGCTAATGTAGCTAGTGCCGACGAAATGCCAGTTAACGGAGGCTGACGTTTGAGGCGCTGGTAGACAGTGCGTCCAGTCAACAAACCTTCGTATTCGTGTTCAAGTGCAGGTATTTCCAGTGTTTATAATCAACTGATGATGCCGGCGCACGAAGATTTCCGTCAACATAGACCATTGACTGTTGATCTTTACTCTTCACTGCTCGAGTCTGGTGGGACAAGCAATGTTGAAGTTGGTTGGAGAGTTCTGCTTACTAAATCCTGCAAACACTCCCACGACCGCTTGATCATATTCGCCTGATCATGTGTAACGAATGACACATGGGTGGCGGTGAGCAAGCATCTTCCCATTTTTGTATTTGTCCATATATATGTCAAGTCAAGTCAAGTCAAGTATTTGCTTTATGCACTCCGAAAGGTGGATATTCAGCAGTCACATTATCATCTAACAATTATCGAACAAAATTATAACATAATTATCGTGAGCAGTGAAAATGAATACAATTTACGAGATAACTGAGTAAAAATCCGAAGCAATGCTTTCTGCACTGACAAGAAAACGGGCAAGATAAGGCACCACAGAAGACCGATAAGCGGTCGTACGAGCAAATATACACTTATAACGGGACCGGGTGGAAGAGGAGGAAACACATTTGATAAGATCTTGATGTAATCACTGTGAAGGGTTATCCATGATTTTTGTTGATAACGAAAAGCATGACTTTGTTTGTTGGGAAATGATGAAGTGACAGATAGTTTCACGGGAAATCCCGCTATTTTTTGATAAATGTGTTAATGATCTGGAAAGCAGTTTAAAGTCTTTTGTGAGCATCCCTGGAAAGACTACTGGGGACCCATACAACCATAGGGGTAAAATATAGGTAAGAAGAAAACGTTTAATCAAGAAGCAAGGGACGGATAATGTTTTCAGTCGTTAGACATAAAATGATAGTTTTCTGACCTTTATAAATACAGAGATAATTTGGTCAGACCAACATACGTTTCGGTTTATTAACACACCAAGATACTTGACGTTCGGGGGTTGGACAATGGTGTCATTGCCTATGTTGAAGTGGGGACAAGATTCCAAGAGATCAGCAGAACGGTTCCCTCTGTGAAGTGAGAACAACATGTCTACACATTTAGAGGGATTGAGAGTTAAGTTATGCTCAGTAAACCACTGAGCAAGGTTAGTAAGGCCAAGTTGGAGGGTGGGGGTGACAGATGCATCAGGGTGGGCAATTCCGACCACAACATCGTCCACATATTTAAGCAGGGAGTTTTGGAAAGTAGGCATGGATGAAATGTAAGTGGAAAAGAAAAACGGGGATAGAATGGCACCCTGTAATACGCCCTGTGTAGAAAGTAAGGAAGAGGAGGATCGACCAAGGTAACGTGTGAACTGTGATCGATTTATGAAATAGTTGGTGAGTACTGCAGTAATAATTCGCGATATTCCGTGGGAAGACAAAATATTTAACAGCAAAAACCTGTCAACACAATTGAAGGCGTCACTGTAATCCAAGAGACGAGTACGAGTGTAGATGCCGTTCAGTCGATGTAGCTCATCTTTGATAGCAGGAGATAAGAGTTTCACTCTTTGAAGATCTTTGCTTTTGTATGCCCTTTCCTTGCGTCGACGTAACTGCGTCAGATGTGGAGACGCGATACGGTCACACCGGAGGTAGAGCGTCTCCCAGGGGCAGTATATGTTGTAGCAGAAGTTTAGATACTATGTGAGGTGATCACAGTAGATAGAAGAATTGGGATTGTCGAACACACTGAAGTCAGTCTGAGAGACCATCACATTAAGCTTCTCTAGGTTCTCTTGGTTAGATTGACGTTTTCTTCTTTTTATGTCTCGGCTTTTTGTGAACAAAATGTGATTGGCCTTGCTGTATACCTTTGGGGACACTTTAATAAGGACATGGTCTGAGGACCCAAGAGGGGAGCGCGAAGATGCGAAAAAATGCTGGTATTATTTACAAAACACTTGTCCAAATGAGCATTCAGTCTTGTTGGGAAACTCACTATGTTCGTCAACCCTAGAACAGACAAGAATGATATATCAACACGATTGAAATCACCACAGACGATACATAACGAGAAATCTAGATAACTCATTAAAGCTATGGAGATAATATCTGAAAAATGAAAAAGTTCCTCAGAGGGACAAGAAGGAGAAATATAAATAGGAGCTAAGACAATCGACCGATAGTTACTGAGGTACTTTGGCTAGCATTCATGTACGGAAGCACATGTGACCAGTGGAATGAGCAAATGTTTGCTTTACATTCTTGCACCAATTGTTGTTGATATAAGTCACCAGGCCACCTCCACGCTTCCGATATGTTGTCGGACGATCGACTCGGTATCCGATGAGGCCATCGATTTTAGTAATCTCTTCATCAATTTCGTTATGCACCCAGGTCTCTTGTAATAGAATTGCGCCCAACTTAGCATATTCCATACGACGCACAAGATCAGATAAGTCTGGTAATTTTCCAAGCAACGAACGCACGTTGTTGCTGATAACGGGACTACCTTGTCATCATAAGCGAATGTGTAACAGAATTATTGATAAAATTTGATGACCAGGTAGTGTGCGGAGATAGATATAGGATCATTTTGTCCTATACGCGCCAAATGGTCAATTGTAGTTCATAACTGAATCTGGCCCGTCAAGCTATTTCCTCTCCCTCTTATTTTCTTCACAAGGTCTCACGTGTTTCACAGAGCAACGCAGGTTACCTTGATCTATCATGTGATCGGAGATGTCCCTATCCAAGGATTATGTAAGCATCTGTTTCGAAAATCTGATCTCTCGGTTGTTTAGCATAATCATCACCCTCAACCCCTCACCAACACACAAACGAAGTCAGCTTTTTATATGCGGCCAACATACACGCTTTGATCTGTCTCAATATGAAGAGGTGGAGTGGCTTAGGCGTGTGTAGGTTGGTTGAATGATTGGAGTGGTGAGGGTGAGTTACCTTGGCTACTTAAGAAAACATTCTGTCCCCAACACTTCACTCACAGGACTCGTTTCGGTAAGTAACTTTGCATCTCCCTGTGCAAAACGGCGATATTCGGAATGACCTGGGCTTGAACGGATGTATGCCTATTCATTCAGCATACAGAAAAAAAGAAAAGAAGTGTATGTTTCAATTATTCATCTCAGTATGTTGCCCGAACTCGGTAACAGTGAAATGGATTAGATCCGATTTGCAATGTCTCTTGCATCAAATGTAACTAATAAGAATGTTTTTTGAACGGACAATCTTTTGGTACAAAATAGTCATTGAATGTCATGAATCTCGTCTTGTTTCACAACCAACAGAGTGTAAGCAAACAAATCAATGAGGCAATTAAGTGGCTGTGGTCGGACCTGAACACACACACACACATCCTTTCAGCTCGTGTCTCGTGTATCATATCACTGGTGAATTTACCAGATCAGCACATTNCAGCACATTCATGAAAAATTTGTGACGATGAAACCAATACTGATTATATGCATCTACTAGGCTGCAGATTGAGGAAAGAAGTTTAGTGGTGAGATTGTTTTCCGTTTTTGCACAATATGTTCACTTGCAGTTAGTCTCGTTGAATAGAGAGCTTTGGAAATTCCGTGCATCTGGAGGAGAAATAGTGGACGCAGTCTAAATTTTTAGGCGACAATCGTCGATTGTCTCCTGGACCTTGTTTTCCAACTTCGATACCGCTGCCCTGGTGCACCACTTATAGTTTGGCAACCTTTGGCCATCCTTAATATCGTTCCTCGGTACTGGTTGTACAATTGTTACGAATGAGATGTACGGAAGTAAAAAGATGAATTTTCTTTTCTGAAAGATTTTCTGACGCAACTCATACTTCTATCTAATCTCATTGTAACACAATTTGTCCAGATGCCTGGAACGTATTTTCAATCTTTCCAGGTACCGATTTCCGATCGACAGCTGTCCTTTCAAATGAGTCAACCATGACAGTTTCAAACTCCTCGTGTTGAAATATGTATTTGAATCGTTCATGTTCCATCAAGTCGTTCCAATTTCTCGCAGGTTCTCGCGAACTTCTGAAGCAGGACGTTAAAGCTCTACGTCGCTGATTAGCTATGTTCGCTAAACGTGCTGATCAGTTTACTGATTTTTATCAGTATACAGTATTCAGTATACAAATCACTTCTACCCCCCCATGCACCCCATACACAATGAGTACCGTATTTTCACGCTCAAAAATCGACCGCAAGGACTTTCGTCACCTTTCAACTAGAATAAACTTCCCTGGAAACTTTTGAATTCTTCTACTAGGTTCGGATTCTGACAACCACAGATGGACCGGAAAAAGAAAAAACCAAACGTTGAACAGTAAGTTTCAGCGATCACATGTAGTAATGATGATGATCGATTATTTGTATGCATTGATTTTTGCATAATTATCTGAAACGTAAGCGACTTGGTTGCTGAATTTCTTCAGAAGGATGTGAATGTAAAACTGTTTCTGTACATGGCTCCACAGAACTACTTTCGAAACCGAACTGGCCCTTAGCCAGTTCGAGTCTCTTGATTCACGATAGCTGGCCAACTGATTCATTCAGCTGGATTGAAAAAATGATATTCCCCCCTCAACCAATTGCCCCTCAGCTAATTGTCGAACATAAAACTTCATGAGAGCTACATGGAGCTATCAGCTGGCGATTAGCAGTATCTTGTCTCAGGTCGATCCATTTTATAGTTGGTCTGTGAGCGCTCCGCGGAGTAACATTTGAAAATGATTGATATTTTAAAACAACCCCTTTTTGACCATCGCAAATCAATGTCTAAGACCGGGAAACCACTGGACCCGAACAGGTTGCAACCGTTTCCACAACATTGTCCCCAACTGGGTTGGCTGTGCACCGATGGAATGCATACAACACGACTGCAACCGTTTGATTTCGTGGGATGTGGTCACATGTTTGCAAATGCACGTGACACGCCAGCCAGTCAGTCAGTCAGTCAGTCAGTGAAACAGTCACGTTCGGTCTGATCACATGCGACAAGCGTGCGCTTCTTGATGCCTGTTCTGTGCATCGGACACGTGCGAGTGTGCGCGTTAGTGACAAAGGAGGAGGCAAATTATGTGGTATGATGAGCCACAATGATCGGATCGAAATGAAGATTCAAGCACTGTCTGGTCACGGTCGACAGTGGGCAGGGCAGTCTGTCTTCATTCTTTGAAATACGGGATGTCTTCCTCTTAGGGCAAAAAAAATTGTACACTTTTTGTTGAATACTATGTACTATAGGGCAATCGCATCCAACCAGCAAGAGCTGTGCGCATAACTAATAAAATGAAAAAGGTGCAATCAGTTGACCAGAGTTTCAGTCAGTCAGTCTTCATTCATTTTCGTAAACTACACCCATCCGCATAAGCTGATCTCCACTCACCCACCATGGAGAGAACGAAGAATTCGATGATCGCTTCGTTTNGCTTCGTTTTGAATCCGAGTGAATGTAACAGTGCATCCAGTTATTTGTCAAGTTGAAATCAAATCACAATTGGAGTAGTCAGTCCAAATTGACATCTTAAGAACCATCATATGTGAGTAAATGCAACGCGAATCAGTAATGCGCATTTCCTAATTTGATGAGGATGTGTTGTCTAATAGATGCATTTTTAGAACACAAAGAATTTATTATGATATAAAATTGGATAAAATCGTCTACCTCGTCCCTGGAATTCGTAAACATATTAGTTCATCATCGATTGATTGTTTACATTCGCAATGATTTTTACTGACTTGCAATGACTTTTAATTGATTTCCGAATTGCTCAGAAAGAACCCCGTCGACCAAGGAGAACAGCGATTTGATGAGATAGATAAGTTCGGTGAACGTTAGACATAAAACTCAGCAAGGTCCGTTCGGTCGAGAGAACTGAGTAAAATTTGTTTGCAATTTATTTATGATACAGAATAGCTTTACCACTGTCTATTTTTCAAAAGACCAGCAGGTAAGAGGTTAGAGTTAACAGTTCACTAGGAACAGTTATGCTACACCTAAATACAACCTTTTGTCAGACATATGGACTGTGCATAAAGCACACTGATCCCAGAAATCACAGTTTAATCTGAAATGAAATAATACTTTAGTTGTCCTACTCCAATAGTTGTGTGAATTATAGGGTTTTGCTGATATTTTATCATATACTTTCCAAATAGATTTAGCAAACTGCTTTGTGAATGGTGTCTTAAATTCGAGGTGTAAGCACTTGATTACACTCAGTTTCCTTGTTCAGTAGGGAAACGGTCCTTCAATTGAAAAAGCCTCAGAATAAATCAGTCTAATGTCAGAAAGAGTCAATTAATATGCCATGATCGTTTGTCTCTCGAGTGCTGAAATTCATTCCAGGATGAACTCATACTTTCGTCTTCTCTCGTGAGAAGAAATTCAATCACTTCCTTGGATTGTTCACTTTATGATTAGATTCCTTAGTCTTGCTCAAATTATACTGTGTAATACAGGTATTTGCAAATAGAACACTACTGGCCGAATCAACCCTCAACTCATGGTGAGAAACAGATAGAGAGACAGACAGATAGAGAGACAGGGTGACTGACTGACGGACTGACTTACTGTCTGACCGAATGGTAGAATGACTAACTGACTGATGGACCGATTGACCGGCTGAGAAATAATCCTTGTAATACAATGAAGAAAATTGCACGGATAAGCGCTTCGAAAGTATTTTTGTGTGTGAACATAGTCCGTTTGAATACCACTCACCAGGTGTGAGATCCCTCTCCTGATAAAAACAAAACACCCCAAACCGACAAAATTAGTTCCTGGCAGAGAAATCTAGTGGTGTAATAATCGACTTATTAAGCACTTAGTGGCATAGTGGATCTGACGTATCCACGGGTACATGAAGCATTTTGATAGATAAAAGTTTTACAATATTCTGATTGTGAAGGATCCCATGGGGGTTCTTTTCGACATTAGTCCCTGATTTGTGTACTGCAGACTGACAGGCGCAACCCAAGCATGGCAAAAGTATTTTTACAACTAAAGCTTTCTACTTGAAAAAAACGTGCCCCACAAAGTCATTTGGGATCACAGCCAAACCTTGATTCAGCTACAACTACCTAATATATATGTACATATATGTATATCTTGGGGTTATACTTCTGTGAAATCTCCAACTAACAAATACAACGAAAGCAACTATACATGAAAGTTTCTCACGCGTTAACCGATTTCCAAACGAGGCTTCTGTTGAGAATAGGCATATGTGGTGGTTGCCAGCATAGAGGTATTTCATCAAAATGCATCTGCATCTTGAGAACAACCCAATTCTCGAGGACTGGTGTTAAATGCAAACTCAGTGCTGAACTAACCACGGCAGTACGTACGCTGTTGTACACAACCACATTGTATTTTATTAACCAGCTTTAGTTTGCATTTACCGCTTTTCGGTAATGAAAACATA